CCATGAGGATCCCCAGCATTCCCCTCAGCCAGTGCCAGGGGTGACTGTAGGGCCTGTATGGCACAGAGTATAGTGATTTGGACCTCTTCTTTTGAGGGCTTGAACTCAGGGTCTGGGGGTTGTCCCTGAGCTTCTTTTGCTCAAGGCTAGCACTCTACCACTTTGAGCCCCAGCAACACTTTTGGCTTTTTTCCATGTCTGTGATACTGATAAATGGAATCCAGGGCTTGATTCATGCATGCTAGGCAAGCACTCTAGCACTAAGCCACATGACCAGCCCCTGAGCTTGTGTGTGTGTATGTGTGTGTACGTGTACGTGTGTACGTACATACGTGTACGTGTGCTTGTGCTTGCGCACATGCAAGCACATAGTCCTCTTTTGTAGCTTGAAATCAGGGCCTTGGCACTGTCCTGATTTTTTTCCTCAAGGCTATCTACCTTTGATCCACAGATCTACTTCCAGCTTTTTGGTGTTTTTAAACATAGTCACAGACTCTCCGGCCACAGGTGGCTCACAACTGAAATCCTTACTACTCAGGAGGCTGAAATCTGAGGATCGCAGTTGAAAGCCAGCCTTGGCAGGGAAAGTCTGTGTGACTAATACCTCCAATAAACCACTCAGAAATCCAGACATGGCGCCGTGGCTCTCATGGTAGATCACTAGTTTTGAGCTGAAGAGTTGAAGGACAGAGCCATGCCCAGAGTTCAAAGCCTTTCGTTTCACAGCTCTTTAAGATCTAGATTACAAGTGTGAGCCACCAGCACCTGCCTTGAAATTTTTCAATAATTCTTTACTTTATTGCTGCTTTTATCAGTAGTAGAGCTTGAAATTAAGGTCTGGGCATTGTCATTCAACAGATTCCTTCAAGGTCTTCACTATACTCCCAAAGACACAACTTCTCTTCCAGCTTTAAATAGACTCTCAATATTTTACCTGAACACTCAGACTCAGATCCAAATATCCATGCTTTTATATAGATAGATATAGATATAGATAGATATATATGATGTGGAGCTTGTGGTAGAGGCCTGGATGCTGTCCCTGAGCTCTTTTTGTTCAAAAGTAGCACTCTCCCACTTTGAGCCACAGCACACTTCCAGTTTTCTGGTGGTCAACTGAAGATGATAGTCTCACAGACTTTCCTGCTCAAGCTGGCTTTGAGCCTGGATCCTCAGATCTCAGCCTCCTGAGCAGCTAGGATTACAGGGTTGAGCCCCCTAGACCCCCCACTCATTCAGGCTTGGCAATATGGGATGACAGATAAGAACCACCATGGCAGGTGGTTGATAAATGACGGGATAGGACTTCAGTTCTCTCAATTTCTACGCCACAGGAGCTGGGCTTTCAGGTGTGAGCCACTAGACCAAGCCTCAATTTTGATAAGTTAAATATTGAGTTCAAATGAGGAATCTGTGGCTCCTGTTTGTAATCCTATCAACTTGAGGTTAGCTAAGAGTGAAGAATCCAAGTAACAGGATATTCTGGGTGGAGAAGGTCCTGATCTCCTCAAAAATAAATACACCTTGGGCTGGGAAGGTGGCTCAGTGGTAGAGTGCTTGCCTTGCATGCCTGAGGCCCTGGGTTTGATTCCTCAGCACCACATAAGCAAAAAGAAAAAGCCGAAAGTGGCGCTGTGGCTCAAGCGGTAGAGTGCTTGCCTTGAGCTGAAGAGCTGAGGGACCGCACCCAGGCCCAGAGTTCAGGCCCCACAACCGAACCCAAAAATAAAAAAAACAAAACAAAAATAAATACACCATGATTTGAGCTGTGACTCAAGTGGTAGAGCACTGGCTTTGACCCACCCGCAGGAACAGCACTCAGGCCTTAAAGTCAATCTCTAGTGCAACCACAAAAACTACAAATTTAAGCACCAATAAATCCAGTCAGATACCAGAGGTTTATACCACAAACCTTAGCTACTCAGGAGACTGGTATTGGAGGTGGTTTAGATCCAGCCCAGATAGAAATCCATGAGGCTTTTTTCCCCAGTCCTGGGGATAGAAGTCAGGACCTGGGAGCTGTCCCTGAGTTGCTTTTGCTCAAGGTTACCATTCTGCCACTTGAACCACAGCACCACTTTGTGTTTTCTGTGGATGTGGTACTGAGGAATGGAACCCTGGGCTTCATGTGTGCTATGCAAGCATTCTACCAGTACTCCACATTCTAGTTCTTGACATTCTTTTCTTCGTGTAAGCAGCAAAATTTCAGAATTGAATATGTGGTTCTGGTGGAAGACTGCCAGCCTTGAGTAGGAAAGCTAAGCGTAAACAGAATGCATTGAGTTCAAGCCCCATACTCTAGGGGATGCTGGCTTTCTCTCCCTTTTTTTGACTCTCATTCTTCTGTGTAGTAATTCATTTCTGAGGGTGGGTTGTGGGGTGACTATAGGACAAGTTCTGGGTGTTTTGGAGACTCTCTTTCTTTGTGTTGGTCCTGTGTTCTAACCCAGGTCCTCCTATGTTCTGGGGACCCCCCCCACTGCACAGCTCCACCTCGCTGCCAGAGCAGTTCCTGAAAGGTGGAGCACAAGAGCTATGCCCCCCCCACCCCCCTGCTCCTCTGGCAGTGGGGAGCAAATCCTTGGTGGAAGAGCAGCCCAGGGAGTCTGTCTTTCTGTCAGTCTTGGGTGAGGGTTCCATCTCAGGTGGAGCTTTCTATACACCGCACCAACCTTTGCCTGGAGTAACTGTTGCTCAGTACCAGAGGTGACACTGAAAACCAATGGTGCCTATTGCATGTAGTTCTCATTCGGATAGAAAAGAGGACAGAGATTAGACAGCTGACATTCCTGTGGCTTTGCTTTTAGTGCTTCTGGATGATGGCCAGATCTTAAGTATATTAGCTAGGGTGTTTCATGTGCTCTTTGCTAACTCCAGGCCTCCTAGCTATTTAGAAGGTTGAGATCTGAAGGTCTGTGTTCCAAGACAGCCCAGGTAGGAGAGCCTTTGATACTTTGATCTTCCATTAAACATGAAAATGACAAAAAGGCAGCTATGACTCAAGTGGTAGAGCACTAATATTAGCCCCCAAGGAAAGTATCAAGACCTGAGTTCAAGTCACAGGACAGGGACACACACACACACACACACACACACACACACACACACACACACAGCTTGGACTTTCCTTTAGGCTCCTCTTTATCCCTGACAATTGGGCCATGAACTCAGAGTAGTGGCTGGAACTGGATGGGACCATGATGAGCTTGGGGCTGTCTATGTGGGGAGCATCCTGCTGCCCTGTGTCCCTGCGCTGTGCTTGGGGGGCATTGGGGCTATGTGGAAAGGGCGTGAACTGACATCTCCCCATGGCTGGAGTCGGGATGTGGCCTTTGAGATGAGTTCTCTCTGAGAAGGGACTTCTCAGCTTCAGCCGCTAAAGCTGCCTCTTCCTGTGTGCTCCCAGGCCCTCTCCCTGCAGCCCCAGCACACTGAGCACCATGTCCCTGCCCACACTGTGGCAGCTGGCCATGCAGAGCCTGCTGGAGGACCAGGCCTTGGCCATCTCTGCTCTGGACGTCCTTCCCTTGGATCTCTTCTCCACGCTGTTCAGAGAGGTGGTTGCCAAGAGACGCATGGAGGTGCTGAAGGCCATGGTGCAGGCCTGGCCCTTTGCCTGCCTCCCCCTGGGGGCCCTGGTGGGCTCAGCTGACCTGGAGATCTTACAAGTCACCCTGGAGGGCCTTGAGGTGCTGCTTGAGCAGGGAGCGGGGCCCAGGTAAGGGGGACCCAGGTTGGGGGCCAGGGAGGACCCTGGAGTTCAGGGAAGAGACAAACCAGAATCAGGGAGAGTAGAGTGGTCTCACAGGGAACCTGGGGCCAGAGGATCCCAGGGATTCCTGTGGAGCTCCTTGTAGAACAGTGTCCCTTGTGTGGAGTGTTGGTGAGGATGGCTGCAGTCATGGCTGCCAGATCCCTAAATACTTCAGGCTGTGGGTGATGGAGTTAGGAATGTTTGGGGAAAGTTTCATGATGTCAGTGGTGCAGTCCTGCAATCCTAACTACTTAGGTGGCTGACATATTAAAAAGTGAGCCTGGGCAAGAGAATGTCTGAGGTTCCTATCGCTATTTAATCAAAATGAAGCCAAAGTTGTGAACCAGTGGCTCACTCCTGTAATCCTAGGTAATCAGGAGGCTGAGATCTGAGAATCACAGTTCAAAGCCAGCCTCAAAGGCAGTCTCGGCAGGAAAGTCTGAGACTCTTAGCACTTGGCCCTGTGGCTCATGAGATAGAGCACTAGCCTTGAGATGAAGAGCTTAAGGACAGCACTCAGGCCCATCGTTCATACCCTACCACCAACAACAAAAAAAGGAAAAGGGAAAGCCAAAAGTGGAGGTGTGATTCAAATGGTAGAACAACTAGCCTGGAGTAGAAAAATGTACTGGACAGCATCCATGCCCTGCCTTCAGGCCCCACTAGTGCACAATAAAAAGAAAAAGGACAGAAAGATAGAAACTAGGCAAAAGCAGGAGGAAATATGGTACACTAGATTGGCTTGGTCTAATAATGATGAAGCAGAAAGTAGCCGTTCTGCCATGTCTGTTCTGAGACTGTCCTGTGTCTCCCCCGTAGATGCAAACTGCAAGTGTTAGATCTGCAGAATAGGTCCCTGAACATCTGGACCTCAGGGTACATAGCAATGTCTCAAGCCTGCTCAGCAGCAGCCCTGACTGACAAGCCAGCAGCCAATCACTGTGCAGACCTGAGGGAGGAGCCCCCCTTCAGGATATTCATGGATGTCACCATCAGTGATGGCCCCAGGGATTGTGTGCTGGCCCACTTGCTCCAGTGGGTGGAGACGAGAAGAGACCAGGTTCAGCTGTGCTCTAAGAAGCTGCAGGTTCTGTTTACATCCACCCCTGGCTCCACCTGTCAAATACAAAGCACTCTTGGATTGCTTCATCTGGACTCCATCCAGGAGCTGGTCGTGGATGATTTGTGGCATCACAAAACATTGGAAAATATGGTTCCTTATCTGGCCCAGATGAAGAACCTTCGCCAACTTTCTTTGGCTAAGATGAAAATGGAATGTTGTTCTTGCATCTTGGAGAATTTACTCAAATACTTGTCTGAGATGGTGCTGCATAGAAATCGCCAAATTAATGAAGGAGAAGGATTCTTCTCTTATGAGATTCTGGAGAAGGTCTTCAGGTGAGGATCCTAAGTCAAAGCTGGCACAGGGAGGGGAATGTCTGTGAGACTTTTACCTATTACCATCTGCCTTTCCTCCCCAACCTGGAAGTGAAGCAGTGGTTCAAATTGATAGAAAGATAGACTTGAGCAGAAAAGCTCAGTGAGCCACAGGGCTGAGCTGAACTTGGGGTGGGTAGATATGAAAGGGGCTCAACTGTGTGGGGTGACTGCGGGGCTGAGGGGACTGAGGAGACACAGGAAGAGGCTCCTCCTCCTGAGGGTGCTGCTTAGTTCTGCCCTGGTCTTCAATGAAGTCAGAAAGCAGGGTGCATGCTGGGAGTGTGCTCAGGGCAGGAAGCCCGCTGTGGGGTCCTATGTAGAAGTGAGTGGCTGTGAGTTCCTCTATAGGAAGCAAGTCTGAGCTCACAGGATAGAAACTGGAAGCAAGGGGAAGAGGAAAGGATGCTGTGCTGTACTGCTCAGATGCATGGGTGGTTGGGCCCTGCGGGCAGGAAGCCCAGTGGTGTGTCCAGACAGTGAGGAGAGGGGGCTGGAGAGGGGGCTGGAGGGGGTGCAGCCTGGGCCAGGCTCAGGTGGCACTGACAGGCATCAGGCTGGGATGGTGGAGTGACAGGGGTCTCAGCCAGAGCATCGTGTGGTTGGTCTCCCTCGGTGCAGCAGGACAACCTTTGCTGACCATCTCCTGCCTGAGTCTGCTCTGCTCACCACCACCATTCACCCCAGTCTCTCTGCTCTCTCCTCAGGACCCTCAAGCCTCTGACCACTCTGTCTTTGATTTCAAGTCCACTGAATGAAGCAGACCTGAGGTGTCTGTCCCTGTGTCCCTGCACCAGTCAGCTCAAGCACCTGCGTCTCAGGACTGTAAATTTGGGTGACTTGTGTCCTGGGGCCCTCCGAGCTCTGCTGGAGAGAGTGTCTGGCACCCTGGAGGCCCTGGCCTTAGAGCACTGTGGGATCACTGAGGCCCAGATCTCTGCCATCCTTCCCAGCCTGAGCCAGTGCTGCCAGCTGAGCTTCTTCAGCATCTATGGGAACCGCATGTCCTTGGCTGCCCTGCAGAACCTGCTGAGCCACACAGCCAGGCTGAGGCAGTTACAGCGAGGGCTGTATCCGGCCCCTGTGGAGAGCTATGACCACGAGTGTTTGTTGTATGGATGCAGAGTCAACAGGGAACGATTTGCCCAGGTTTGTGTGAACTTGGTCCAGATCCTGAGGAACCTCCAGCCAGTCCATAAGGTCCAGGTCTGCACTTACTCATGCATAGGCTGTAAGAAGAACCAGTTCTATAGCCTGGCACCCAGTGGTAACTGGGTAGTTACAGAGGAATATTCCTTTACACGTCAGTCTAACTACTGCGGGGTTTGTGCACCTGAGTAGTTCATGCTGTTGTTTGGAAGTGAACCTGAATGTCCCTTTAGGACACCCAGTACATCCTAGTGGGAACACTAACCATCTGTCATTCCGCAGGGGAAAATATAGGAGAGGACAGGTTCTTTTGCTCTCCAGTTTCATTGTCAGGAAGGTGATGTGGGGTGCTCTGGCCTCCATGGGCCAGTGTCCTGTGTCCTCATCAAAGCAATCTGAGTGGAATGCATTCAACTTGTGTGGAACAAGTGGGAATTCCTGGTTCCTGTATTGGTATATGGACGTAAACCCATCCTGATGGAGAGACTTCCTCTGTTCATTTAATTTTATGATAATAAATAAGTTATTGTAAGGAGAGTGCCTTTGGCTCATGCCTGTAATCCTAGCTACTCAGGAGGCTGAGATCTGAGCATCCCCATTCAAAACCAGCTGAGACAAGAAGGTCTATGAGAGGTTTTTTTCCCCTGTTGTGGGGCTTGAACTCTGGGCCTGGGCGCTGTCCCTCAGCTCTTCAGCTCAAGGCTAGCACTTCTCCCCCATGAGCCACAAGGCCACTTCCCGCCTTTTCTACTCATGTTGAGCCACCTTCCCAGCCCCTCTGTGAGACTTTTGTCTTTAGTTTTCTTTATTTTTTCACCCAAAGTTGAAATGGGCCAGTGGTTCAAATGGGTGCAAGACTAGACTTGAGCAAATATCTGAGGGAGTTACCCGCCGGTGGCCAGGCCTGTAATCCTAGCTACTCAGGAGCCTGAGATCTGGGAACATTGGTTCAAAGCCAGCCCAGGCAGGAAAGTCTGTGAAACTCTTATCTTCAATAAACCACCAGAAAACTGGAAGTGGCACTCTAGCTCAAGTGGTAGAGCACTCACCTTGAGCTGAAGAGCTGAGTGACAGTGCCCACGCCCAGAGTTCAAGCCCCACGACAGACCAAAAAATACAAACGTACAAACAAAAAAAAAGTTGAGGGATACTGTCCAGGCCCTGAGTTCTTGCCTTAGAACTGAAAACAGAACACGAAAAATTAAGCTGGGTGCCAGTAGCTCAGGCCTGTAATCCTAGCTATTCAGAATGCTAAGATCTGAAGATCACAGTTGAAAGCTACTCTCGGAAGGAAAGTCCACAAAACTCTTATCTCCATGGAACCACCAGAAAACCAGAAGTGACACTGTGCCTCAAGTAGTAGAGCTCTTCCTTGAGCTGAATTGCTCAGGAACAGTGCCCAGGTCCAGAGTGCATGCCCCATGAACAACAACATCAATAAAATTAAAGCAAAATTACTAGTGAAGCTTAGGCACCAGTAGATGAATATCTGTAATCCTAGGTACACAGGAGAGTGAGTCCTGAGGATGGCAGTTTCCAGGCAGCCCAGGAAGAAAATCCTTGAGTTGCTAATCTCCCATAAGCCTTTTGTGAGGACAGACAAACCTCAGACTTGGAGCTGGGTCAAGTGGCAGAGTGACTGATAGCCAAGGGGGAAAAGGCGAAGGGACAGAACCAAGCCCTCAATTCAGTCCTCAGTACCTGCATAAAAAATAAATGTAATGCTCATGCTTGTTTCATGGAATATTATACCCACGCTCAGAATGTGGCTCAGTGGCAGAGTGCTTCCCTAGCATGCATGAAACCCTAGGTTCAATTCCTCAGTACCACACACAAGCCTAAAATGGTGCTGGGGCTCAAGTGGTAGGGTGTAGCCTTGAGCTCAAGAAAGGTGACCTGTCCCTGAATGCAAGTCCAGGATTAGCTGAAAAAGAAAAAGATTTTAAAAAAAGGAAAGGAGTCTGTCCAAATCCAGGTGCAGTGGAGAACCCGTGGCTGATTTCCTGCTGTGACATGACTACAGGAAGCCGCTGGCACCTGTGCATTGAGCACTGACCATGGAGCCCACTAACTCACTTGGGGCCAGACTGCTTCACCACAGGGGCTGTGAGGCCTTCCACACCTTGCTGCAGCCCTGAGTGCCAGCTCAGCACACTACACATGGTGAAGCTGACATCCACCTCTGAATCACTGGAGTGATTCCTCAACCTCCCCAGACCCATCATCATTCACAATGCAGCATCTTCCTTTTCCACAC